GAAGGAATCCAGATTTCACAAGAGAACCAAACACATCAAGAGACGCTTCAATTCCATCCGCGATCAAGTCAAGGAGGGAGACATAGAGATTTGCAAGATACATACGGATCTGAATGTTGCAGACCTGTTGACTAAGCCTCTCTCATGAGCAAAACATGATCAGCACCAAGACTCCATGGGTGTTAGAATCATTACTATGTAATCTAGATTATTGACTCTAGTGCAAGTGGGAGACTGAAGGAAATATGCCCTAGAGGCAATAATTGTTATTTATATTTCCTTATATCATGATGAATGCTTATTATTCATGCTAGAATTGTATTAACCGGAAACTTTGTAAATGTGTGAATACATAGACAAAACAAAGTGTCCCTGGTATGCCTCTACTTGACTAGCTCGTTAATCAAAGATGGTTAAGTTTCCTGACCATAGACATGTGTTGTCATTTGATGAATGAGATCACATCATTAGAGAATGATGTGATGGACAAGACCCATCCGTTTGCTTAGCATAATGATCCTTTAGTTTTATTGCTATTGCTTTCTTCATGACTTATACATGTTCCTCTGACTATGAGATTATGCAACTCCTGAATACTCGAGGAACACCTTGTGTGCTATCAAACGTCACAACATAACTGGGTGATTATAAAGATGCTCTGCAGGTGTCTCCGATGGTGTTTGTTGAGTTGGCATAGATCAAGATTATGATTTGTCACTCCGTGTATCGGAGAGGTATCTCTAGGCCCTCTTGGTAATGCACATCACTATAAGCCTTGCAAGCAATGTGACTAATTAGTTAGTTACGGGATGATGCATTACAGAATGAGTAAAGAGACTTGTCGGTAACGAGATTGAACTACGTATGAGGATACCGACGATCGAATCTCGGGCAAGTAACATACTGATGACAAAGGGAATAGCGTATGTTGTTATGCGGTTTGACCAATAAAGATCTTCGTAGAATATGTAGGAGCCAATATGAGCATCCAGGTTCCCCTATTGGTTATTGACCGGAGATGTGTCTCGGTCATGTCTACATAGTTCTCGAACCCGTAGGGTCCGCATGCTTAACGTTCGATGGCTATTTTATTATGAGTTATGTGATTTGATGACCAAAGTTTGTTTGGAGTCCCGGATGAGATCACGGACGTGATGAGGAGTCTCGAAATGGTCGAGAGGTAAAGATTCATATATTGGAAGGTTGCATTTGGACATCGGAATGGTTCCGAGTACTTCGAGCATTTTTCCGGAGTACAGGGAGGTTACCGGAACCCCCTAGGGAAGTTAATGGGCCTTAGCGGGCTTTAGTGGAGAGAGGGAAGAAGGGCCACGAGGTGGTGTGCGCCTCCCCCCTGCCCAAACCAAATTGGACAAGGGGTGGGGGCGCGCCCCCCTCCTTCCTTCTCCTTCTCCCCTCCTTCCTTTCCCTCATGTGGAAGAAAGGAAAAGGGGGGGGGGGGCGAATCCTACTTGGACTCCCCCCTGGCGTGCCCCTCCTGGCTGGCCTCCTCTCTCCCTCTCTCATTTATATACGTGGCCAGGGGGCACCCCAATAGCACAACAAACAATCTCTTAGCCGTGTGCGGTGCCCCCTCCACAGTTTAACACCTCGGTCATATTGTCGTAGTGCTTAGGTGAAGCCCTACGCCGGTAACTTCATCATCACCGTCACCACGCCATCGTGCTGACGAAACTCTCCCTCGTCCCCAACTGGATCAAGAGCTTGAGGGACGTCATCACCGAACGTGTGCTGAACACGGAGGTGCCGTACGTTCGGTACTTGGATCGGTTGGATCGTGAAGACGTTCGACTACATCAACCGCATTACTAAACGCTTCCGCTTTCGGTCTACGAGGGTACGTGGACACACTCTCCCGTCTCGTTGCTATGCATCTCCTAGATAGATCTTGCGTGATCGTAGGAAAATTTTGAAATACCGCGTTCCCCAACATCATCATCCTTGTTGGAGAACTCGGCAATGTTGAACATGCGGAACCATTGCTTCTTGCCTGTGTTGGGGTTTTGGATTTGGGATGACCAGTTGCCCAAGGCCTCTGGAAAACACCACAGTACCTCCCGTTCCCCGCCATGTCCAATGAAAGAGTGCTCTAAACCATGCACATATTTAAAGTTAAAAATCAGCGGAAAAGTTGGCATGACCTTTGTTTAATATTGGACATATTAACTGCCAGAATTTGATGAAACGGAAATCAATTAATGTTTTGCCAAAACATTGGCACTTAGTATGAATCCATGTACAAATTTGAAGGCATGTACTATAACACAATATGAATATAGCACTCATAGGAATAACCAAGTCTGTAACAAACTAATGATATACAACATCGGTTGCATCATAGTACATAGCATCCATAGCAACCACACAACAATCCTGACACTAGATACATCCAAAATCTGAGAAAGTAGTGGTCAAACTATATGCCAAGCCCTCACGGCTAATACAGAGTAAGGTGGAAACAGGTGAATTACAGGAGCTGAAAATTTGTAGACAAAGCCCTGGTATTTCACACCTTTTATTCGCGGATGACAGCCTGTTATTTTTTAAAGCAAACAACGATCAGACCAATAAGGTAAAGAACATTCTAGACAACTATGAGAGAGCCACTGGACAGCTAATAAGTCCATCTAAATGCTCCCCGCTCCTTGGAAACAAATGCTCACAAGAAGATGGACATGATGTAATAAATATCCTGAATGTAGTGACGGTGACTTTTAAAGAGAAATATCTGGGTTTGTCGGTTCCAGAAGGATGTATGGTAAAAGGGAAATTCAAGCACACAAAAGATAAAGCGAGGAAAAGAATGAATGATTGGACAGAAAAATATTCTTCCAGTGGAGCCAAGGAGACACTAATTAAATCAGTGACCCAAGTAATCCCCACTTTTGCAATGAGCATTTTCAAGTTCTCGGCAACCTTTGTGTGGAGCTCATGCACATGACCAGAGACTTTTGGTGGGGAGATGATAAGGATCGTCGATGTATTCATCGGTTGAGTTGGGAGAAACTTACAAAACGTAAAATCCAAGGAGGTATGGGATTCAAAGATCTTAAAGTTTTTAACCGGGCTCTCCTCGCTAGGCAAGCCTGGCGACTTATTGCACATCCTGACAGCTTGTGCGCGAGAGTACTTAAGGCAAAATACTACCATGGGCTGAACTGCTAGACACGGCGTTTATTCATAATGCATTGCCGGGCTGGTAGGGCATCATGCATGGTTTGGAACTCCTTAAAAAGGATGTATTTGGCGCATTTGCAACGGAAATAGTGTGCACATTTGGAGAGACAATTGGATATCGAGAGGAAACATGAAAATAAACATAAATCCAACAAGCTCCCGAACTCGTTGGGTAGCAGACCTCATCGACCAGGAGAGTCATGCTTGGAAGGAAGATGATATCATGCGTATATTTACACCCGAAGACGCAAATGATATTTTAAGTATCCGACTATCAAATTATGATGAAGAGGATTATATTGCTTGGCCGAAAAAAAAAGAAATTTTTAGTGTTCGTAGCGCATACCGGTTAGCCATGGACGAAAAGGATTCTGTGGTGATTGGGTCCCGCCACAATACCCAAGGGGATCACAGTATTTGGAATAATATCAGGAAGACAAATGTACCCCCAAAAGTACGTATTTTTACATGAAGATTAGCAACGGAGTCACTGGCGGTTCAAACTAATAGATTTCGTCGCATCCCAGGCCTCACCCCGATTTTTAATGTATGTGGAACCGATGATGAAACAGGCTTCCATATGGCACATCGATGCACATTTGCAAGGGCCCTGTGGCACGAACTCAAGGAGGTATGGAACCTGCCCCCTGAGCATGAAATAGAATATAGTAGAAGGGATTGGGTCCTGATCCTGCTAGATAAGGTGAGTGAAGATATGAAACAAAAATTTATGCTATTTTGGTGGCGTGTTTGGCACCATAGAAATGACGCGATCTTCGCAAAAGGTAAGGGAAAATTTCCCACTCTGCTCGTTTTCTGCAAAACTACCTTGTAAACCTCCGCTTGATTGTGAACGGAACTTCTAAGATAGATCAAAAAGGAAAAAGTCCGATGGTTAAATTGTCATCTGTGCAACAACATGATAATACAACGGAAAATTGATGGAAAAAGCCAGAGCTCGGATGGGCTGAGGTCAATGTTGATGGAAGTTTTTTGGAAGAAAGTAGGAGTGGAGCCTGGGGAGCTATGATTCGAGATCATGATGGAAGAATTATCTTCTCAGCTTGGGATTATATACCGCGGTGCAATGGAGCGGACTGCGCGGAAGCCATGGCTTGCCTAGAAGGACTATGGAAGGCAATGTCAGAGGCGGATCTACCCTTAATCATCGAGACGGATTGCAGATCGATGACAAAGGCGATCATCCTCTCGTCTATTGATAGATCGGAGGTTGGAACAATTGCAAAGGAGTTTCAAACCATGAAAGGGAACAGAGAAGTTAGAGTTTGCAAAGTAGATAGGAAGGAAAATATGTTAGCTCATAGTCTTGCCCAGTTGGGGCGTAGAGAGTTGCTGGTGGGGTTATGCAAGACACAGTGCCAACCTGCATGTTGAGCGAGACCTTGCACGATTGTACGAACTATGTTTTCTCTACTTAATTAATACAACTCTCTATTTAAAAAAAAAAAGCTATTGCAGGCAATTCTCTCAGCGACGCGCGGCGTATCATATATTTTATCCATACGAACTATTTCAAATTCTCTCCCTGCAAAAAAGAAAAACTAATTCAAATTCCTGGGCTCCATTTTGCGCTCCGGCCTGGCCCCCAAAATTGCTGGACACGGCCCTACCCATCCATAAGCGCAGCACCTGGGTCGCGGAATCCGACAGTCCTCCCGGTTTCGAATCAGAGATTCCCCACCTCTCTCGCAAGCTGTCTCTCCGGGAGGAGGAGGACGGAGGCGCGGCCCAGGACGGCACGGCTACCGGAGCTGGCTGATCGGCGGCTCTATTAGGGCAGGATGCAGCAGAATCCTGCTGAGGCCATGGAGGCCTCCGCGCCGTCGGAGGCCGAGGCGCCCAAAGATGCGGGGCCGTGGCTAGGGTTCTGGGAGGTGTCGCGGCGGCGGTTGACCCCCGACGACCCCTTCTTCGCCGCCGGCGACATGGAGCGCGAGCTACTCGCCAAACACGTACGTCCCCCATGCCCCTCCCGTCAAGCCGATTTTACCCAATGATTTTATTGATTGTTCATGAGCGTCTAGCGGAAGATCTTTTGGATTCGACAGATCCCCAAATCAAACCAATTTTAGCTGAATATTGGTGCCTTGCCCTTGAAGGAATAAACCATGGCATTTTCATGCTGCCTCTGAATTCAGTGGTCTGCACTACGCAGGATCGTGAGTTTTGCAGGTTAATCTTGCAGAAACTGGGGGCCCTGACCGTGGACTCACAAGGAACTTAGAGTAGCTTATATCAACTGAATTGTGGATTTCATTCTGTTCCTATGTTTCCTTCAATTAGTATTGTTTCATTCCTATGTTGTACATCGCTCTAATACTTAAGTGGTTTGGCATGTGTATGCCCATGTGTAGGTTGCCCTGGATCTCTCGGATGATGACCGGTACCAACTTGAGAAGATGGATGTGGCGAGCGTGAGGTACTGAGGCAGTTGATGATCTTTGCATATCATTTTGTTGTTCACCAGTGATTGGTACTAGATTGTGCTTCTTCTTGTTTGCCACAGTATGTTAAGTATCGAGTATCTACATGGTTTCGTATTCATTTGAACTCGATCTGAATGCTACCTGAACACAAGGCATATGACGGAACAGGGACCTATGATTAGTGGATCATAGTGAAAGCAGTAGATTTTGTTTCCATTCCTATACGTGTAGTATCCACAATACTGATCTGACAGGTATGTGTGATCACATACGCATTGATAGATGTAGAGTGGCCACAGAGCAACATAGTTAAACAAACACTCAGTATTACCTTGTCTTGATTATGACTATGACACATAAATTGAAATGGAGTGTACATATGTATTTGCATCATCAGACACATAAATACATTGCGCGCAATAGGTATAATTGTTTGAGCAAATGACAGTCGGATGTTTAAAAACTGAACTCTTCTATACTAATCTGTGATGTGGACTTTATACAACGATGCGTGAGTATTTTGTCCTGGCACCTGCTAATACATGCTGTACTGCAGCGAAATTTTCCCTCTGCATGTTATGAACTACAGCATATTGTTTGGTCCTGTCCCATTGTTCCGTTGACTCAGTCATTTGTCTAAAAACTCCTGCAGCATGGTGTGTTGTCCAATTGCTGGTTGCGGTGCTCATCTAGATTGCTTGGAGGACTTTGAAGACCACTACAGCACACGGCATACTGCTTCATGCTCTGTATGTTCAAGAGTGTACCCAACATCAAGGTTGCTGAGTATTCATATTTCTGAGGCGCATGATTCCTTCTTCCAAGCAAAAGTCGCTCGTGGTTTTCCGATGGTAATGTAATCCATCATAACAATGCATTTCTCAATATATTTATTACTTAAATTGCACAATAGCCGATTTGTACACAATCTCAATATTCCCAGTAGTGTCCTTTTTATGATTATCTGAAGATATTTTATACAGTAGTTATCAACTGCAGCAACAGTCAGCATTCACATAGTTACTATCCTATTCAGCTAATGGAGCTTTTATAGATTATTTGATTTATTTCATATAAACAAATAATTAGGGTTTGACACATGCAAATTTACCGAACTAACTTGGAGAACCATATGTATGCTGAGGTGTGCATTTTTCTTCTTCTGAAACAGTACGAATGTTTGGTGGAGGGTTGTGGGGAGAAGTTGAAGACGTACAAAAGTCGGCAGCAGCATCTTGTTGATAAGCATCAATTTCCCAACTCATTTGAATTCTTCAAAAGAGCACAACCTTCCCAGCGGCATCGTCAGAAGTATCATCATCGAAGGCAAACTGCTTATAAGGGAGAAGAGACAAGGGATACTGTCATGGACGTTGGTGGGAAGAATCCAAGGCAATCGAAACCGAGATATCGGCCGAAGCAACGTGATCATAAGGAGCCGAAAGAAAATGAACATGGTCACAAGGAGTCGAAAGACAATGAACATCATGAGAAGGAGGCCAAGGAGAGCGACATGGAGGTCGAACAGAAGATTGATGAACTGTCCTCGGCTGTATCAAGGCTGAGCACTGCAGATTCGGTGCCTTCGAGCATAACCTTTGGCCATCGCCGTGCTCGTGGTCTTACTTTTGTCCCAAGATCTATTAGGCAGAACAAGCAGGTCTCTCAGCCAGAAGCAAATTGACAATTCTTCAATGGATTATCAATCTCTAATACGGATTTCCCTTGTACTTGGACGTTTGAAGTTTGCACTATATTTGTATCATGATCAATATGATCGATGTTTTTTGTTGGGTTGCCTGTTTGGTCTTCTGCCTGCTATAAGCTTTGTTTATGGATGTGGTTGTTTTTTATGGTGTTAGAACATCTCTAATCTATCCCAAAAATCCGGCAATCCTTCAGTTGTGCCGACGTGATAGAGGCCATGGTCGACGAGCGCGAAGTGCTGGAGCACGAGCTCCATGATGCGGCGCCAATGGAGTGATGGAAAATCGAGCCGGAGCTTGCCGGAGGTGCTCGTGGAGAAGATGTTGTGCGTGGCGTCAACGTTGGTCGCGTGCGGGAGGCTGGCCAGGACACCAGGTCGCATGCATGAGACTGTTTGAATGAAAGCCGTGCTGGAAGATCTGCCTACCAAAGCGACCTGTCGCCGTTCCCCTGGAGACCTGCGCCGATGTGGGAGGTGGGCCTTCTCGCGCTCGCTACAAATTAGCTCCGATCGCTACGTCCTGTAGCGTAGGTAGGATTTGTGGGTGTTTCCCTTTTTCTTTTATTCCATTGCATAAAAAATCCAAAAATGTACACGATCTCAGTAAAGTCCATGAATTCAAAAAAATCAGCACAAATTTGAAAAATGTTCATAGATTTTAAACAATGTTCACAAGTCTAATTTTTCACAAATTTGAAAACTGGATTTTAGATTTGGAAAATGTTTATTAGTTTAGAAAATGTTTGTGAAATCAGAAACGTTTATGTGCATGAAAAACTATTCACAAATTTTAAAACAATCACAGATCAAAAAATGTTCTTTAATTTAAAAAATCACATATTTGAATAGAATTTTCGAATTCAAAAAAATGTTCATGAATTTACAAAATATTCACAAATTCCAAAAAGTATTCTTGAATTTGAACATTGTTCACGAAATTAAAGAATGTTTATTGATTCAAAAAAATATTCACGAATAAGAAATGGTTCACTAATTTGAACAACGTTCATGAATTTGAAATTTTTTGTGACTTCCATAAATGCCCATGGATCAAAATAATTCATGAAGTTAAAAAATGCTTGTGTATTCAAAAAATAAGACAATGAGTTCAAAAAAATGTTCACAAATTCCAAAAATGTTTGTCAATTTGAAAGAAAAGATGAGGAATTCAAAAAAACTATGATTAAAAAATGTTTGTGAATTAAAAAAAATAAGACAATGAATTGACAAAATTTTCACAAATTCCAAAAAGGTTTGTCAATTTGAAAGCCAATCAGGAATTCAAAATAATTTATGGATTAAAAAATGTTCATGGATTCAAAAGTATTTATGAATTTGAAAAGGATATTCAGAAATACTCCCTCTCTAAAGAAATATAAGAGCGTTTAGATCACTAAAGTACAAAACAGTTTTTCACAAATTTTATAAAAATGTTCGAAAATAAAAAATGTTCAAGAATAAAAAAGGAAAATAAAAAATTTCAAAAAAGAAACTGAAGAAAAACCAAAGAAAAAACACAGAAAGAAAACCGAAAAAGTCGATGAAAGAAAAAACAGAATGGAAAGTTCCGAAATGACCGTGGAACCTTGAAGCGAAGCGAGAGAGCGCTTCCTAATGGGCCGCCCATTTTCCTACGATAGTGGGCGATCGAAGGGTATTGTGATACATATCATCCTGCTAATGTCCAACCTTCATTCCCATGGCTTAGAAGTCTTGGCCTACATGAATTGCTAACGGCCAAATGATATTTTCTTTGGTTGTAGTCCATGGGACCAATTGGGAGTCGGAGCAATAGCGTGCTACATGAAAAAAGAAAGGACCTTCTATATGACGCGCACCACGTCAAGCAGACGAGTGTAGCACATGAGCTACTGTCTTGGCCTGTAACCCATGGGACGAACTGCGAGGCGGAGGAATAGCGTGCTAGGGGTAAAAAAAGAGAGGGGGCCCCTCATATGATGTGCACTGCATCCAACAAATGTGCGCGCACATCAGCTCTCCCGACTGGGCCGGCCCAGCAGCACACAAACCGTCCCCTATCTCTAAAGTTGCAGATTACAACTCCTGATTCAATCAGTTCAAAGTCTGAAGTATGACTCTTGTTTGTGACATTTAATTCCAGAATGAACATTCAAAGGAACATTAGTATGGGATGCTGCTTTCTATTAGTAACTGTGGCTAACAACCAAAGAAGAAAAATTATGAAAAAGTCGCACGGGTATAAGGGATCGAACACCATGATAGAATTACACATTTTTCACAATTCAGACGTCATATTCTATTGAAAAAGTAAATATATTTTTGAAATGCGAACATTTTCAAATGTTTGATTTTTTATAAAAACTCAAAAAAAATTGAAAACACAAAAAAAATTCCATTTTGTAAACAATTTTTAAAGGAAAGTTTTCAAAATTTTGAACAAAATTTGAAGCTGTAACTTTATTGAAAACATGAAAGAGTGGACAATTTTTAGGATCTATGAAATATTTTTGAAACGGAAACATTTTCTGAAACCGCGAATAAAATTTGACAACACGAATATTTTCTCAAATTTAGGAATATTTTATGAAAAATACAAGCATTTTTTGAAAAATGGAAGAATTTTTGAAACATGGATATTTCTTTCATCTGGAAAAAACTTGATTCGTGATTTTTTTAATTTCTGAACATTAATTAAAAATGTGAACAAAATTTGAATTTTCGAATTTTTTCTGCAAATGTGGAATATTTTTGAGAAAAGAACAAATGTTGAAAAACATGAACAAAATGTTTAAACTACCAAGAATTTTGCATTTATGAAAATAAACAGGAAAACAAGAGGATAAATGAATTAAAAAAGGAAACATAACAAATTACAAGAAACAAAAAAAGTATACCTGAAAGAAATCATATAGAAGAAACCCTTTTTCCGAATGTTCTAGAGGCTTCTTTATTCGTCTACTTTTTTCTATGTTTTTTGTTGGCTTCACGGGCTGTTTTGCATTTCTTTCTTTTCAGTTTCTTTATTTTCTTTTCTTTTCTTTCTTTCTGGGTTTGATCGGTTTTATTCTTTTTCTTTGTTCTTTCATGACTTTTAAATACATGGTCACCACTTTTTATACACATTTTTAATATTTTACAAATGCTTAATTAAAATTTTCTACATGCAAGATTAACATTTTCAGAATACATGATTAATATTTTTCCTATACACTTTTTAAACATTTTTAAATACTTGATTAAAAAAATTCATATACAAGACTGACAATTTTTTATGGCACGGTCAATATTTTTTCCATACACATTTAACATTTTTCATATGCTTGTTTCACTTTTTTCTCTCAAATGCAATATTAACTTTTTTTGAATACATTGTCAAAAAAAATCTATATACAGTGAAATATTTTCAAATACTTTATTAAGATGTTTCAAATACAAGCTTAGCAATTTTTTAATACAATACACGATGAACTTGTTTTGAATACATGTTCAACAGTTTTTACATACATATTTACAAAAAAATCAAATGCTTGATTAAAAAAATTCAAGTACATTTTAAACATTTTTTGATATATGGTCAACATTTTTCCTATCAATATTTAACCTTTTTCAAATGCTTGACTAATATTTTTCAAATACTTTTTAAATATTTCTTTCAAAGCTTGATTAACATCTTTTAAAGACATGATCAACTTCTTCACACACATTGGTTTTTGAATACATTTTTTGTATACATAAAAACTTTTTTCTCTATACGTATTTAATAATTTTCAAATGCTTGGTTAATAATTTCTCAAGCGTTTATGTAAAGTAATTTTTGTTTTACATTTATTTAAAATATTTGAAAGTATAAATGAAAGAAAAACAGAATATATAAAATAACCACAGAAACGAGATCGTGGCCCCCCGCACGTCCAGGCCAGCTAGCCCATCTGGCGCTCCCTTGACACATGAGCCTGCTAGGTCTCGATGTAAGCAAGACATAGTGCTGCCCATCGCACACACAACCGCCGCTGCTTCCCCTAAAAAAGTTAGGGTTCCTTTGTCTCCCGTATGCACCGTTGCCGGTCCACTTCGTCTCTAGGGCCATGGGGGCGCGGTGGATCCTTACCCTTGCCAGCGGGAGGACTCTATTTTTAGATGTTTCTTTTGGTTTTGTTAGGATTTTTGTCGTGTTCACAAAGAGGAGACGATAGCGGCCCCAAAAAGATGGAACAAGGTCAGGGCCGGTCCTGAGATTTTGGGGGCCCGGTGTGAGAGTAAAAGTCGGGGCCCTTAATATAGACATCTTAACAATAACATTGAATATAGGTACATGTATTATCAAGCACTTAAGTGCATCCAATACTAGTATGCATATCAAGTACTTTATAAATATTACCTTTAATAATAATTATAACATTCTTTGATGCAAAATCACTTATGATGGGGTCGTTGCCAATATCATCCAATATTTTCTTCTCGATTCCATTATGTTGCCAAACCATATAACCTCTCTTGGGTCATTCCCTCATTGGTGACCTCAGATAGTTCCTCAATAATTTCAACTTCAAAAAACTTCTTCCGGCCTATACGATAGTCACAGGTATAGTAAATAAAGATGTGATAAGCAATGGAGATATCAGGATAACAACCAACTTCTCTTGACATTCTCGAAATCTCCATAGCATATATTACAGTCATCTGGCAAAGTGAATCCGCAATTTTCAATTCAGAAATAAGATCATATACCTCAACATCACATGAACTATGAAGAGAGAAAGTTTCTGCAAATTTTGTGCACCACTCTTCAAGTTCATTATCATCAATGACTTCATAGTTTCCAAGCTAAAAATAATTCCAAATATATCTTTAAACACCATAGATTCTTTCAATCTACCCTTCAAAGAAGTGATCGCTATCAACCAACAAAATATTTAACTTGGACAGCCTTCTCAAATTCTAGAATTTCTTCTCGACAATCACTTTCGTCAAATTGTTTCTTCTTGTAACACGAC